AGAGGGGAGGTTTGCTGGCGATTTTAGCCTTGCAGAGATTTGGACTGAAAAGCTCAGAGACTCGGTGGGTCAGCCCGTCGGGGACAAGCCAGCCCACCCTGTTCTCTCAGCACTTTGCAGCCCTAGCTTGGTGTGTCAGCCCCAGGTCTGCTCCAGCTGTTCACAAGCAGGATTATAACACAAGGAGAAAACAATTCATATCCCGTAGGGGGGAAAAAAAGGATCAATTCATCACTCGATATATAATACAGCCAAAATGAGCTGCCAAAACTTTGCACACACACACACACAATACTGTGAACAGAAAAATACAAGAAAAATGAAGAAGCTGGGGGCCTGGCGGGGTATCGATGTTGCTTAAAGCACTCATCGGTCCCCAGAAAAACCAAACCAAGAAACATTTTTAAAAAAATTCAAAAACATATGTACCCCCTGGGAATCTGGCATTGGTAACGGGCGGGGAGCGGGGGTGCGGGGTTGGGGGAGAAGAGAATCGCTGTTCCCTTCTTGCTGGCGGGTGTGAGCTGAGCCCTCGCCACACTGGCTGGTGTGAGTCACTGCCAGGCGGGGCGCCTCCAGCTGGCGGTCCCCTTCAAGGCCAGGTCTGAGTGGCGGCCAATGAGCAGTTCTCTACGTTACCAAGCCCTGCCAACCAGCACTACCATGGCTGAAGTGATCGACCGTTTTCCTGAGTAAACTGTAACTGGCTACAGTTCTGGTAACTTGGAGAACTCAGCCGCTGTGGCCATGGGCCCACGGGCCGTGCTCGAGGGCTCCCCTGGACCCCTCGGCTGCTCCTTCCTAGTGCACTGGAGTTGGGAATTGGAGAATTTGCTGTGGCCTGGTCTATAAGCCTTATTTTAAAGATGGGGCCCAGGGACTCGACAGCAGCCGCTGGACCTGAGGGCACCCCCCGGCTGAGGACACCCAGAGTCTACTTGGAAAGGGCCCTGCTCCTCACTCCGGCTCCTGGATGGCTGCTGCCTGGTTGGTCAGTCAGGCGAGGATGAGGAACGCAGGAGAGGGGAAGGGAGGGAAGAGGCTTTCAGACAGTAACATTTCCAAAAAAATAGTGTTTTATGCAACAGAGCATCAGGCTTCACCGGTGGATACTACAAACGGTCAAACATTTTCAAGAGCATGACAAAAGAAAAACACACAAGCTTACGTTGGATGTTCACCTTGCCCACTATATATTTTTTTTTCCTATCTTAAAACAGTGCAAACAGTAACTTATGCTTTTAAAACACCACTACCCCTTCCCCACCCACCAAAGTCCCTTTCCTCCTATCTTCTGGGGAAAACAAGTCTGTGATTTTGCACGTTACTGTGCTATAGGGGGTTGCAAGCAGCAGAGAAGCGGCGGGCTTGGTGGAAGGGGGCAGTCCCCAGGGCTCCCCCTTCCCCTCCCTTCGGCTCTGCCCTGTCCTCGCTGAGCTCATCCTCCTGCCAGAGGGAAGGGGGCTGCCCAGCCCTTCCTGCAGATAGATCTGGAGGGTGCTCCTGCCCCGAGTTCACACCTCCCTCCTATCTGGAAGCTATGTGACTAGTTAGAAGGTGGCGGTGACTCAAACTTCTCTGCCAGAACTCTAGGAAAGTAGAACCTAAACTAAGAGCAGTTCAGCCCCTGAGGAGTCACTTGTCAGGAAAAGCTGCTATCACTGATTTCTACTGAATAGAGCCCCACTAGCTCCCCTGAAACTAAGAGCTGAGCCCCAGTTCCCTTCTTTTTCAAGGAAAGATAATATTGGCTCAATTCCACCTGTGGCTGCTGGAGGAGGATGGTGCCTGTAGGTTCTGTAAAACCTGAGAGCCTTAAAAATGACGAATCACAACAGCTGATCAGGGTCAGTGGGAGTTTAATTATGTAATATAATGGATTCTGGAGAAGCTCTGAGGACAGCTCTCTGGGCTGAAAGACGGATATTCAGATAAAGGTGTTTACTAGAGGATTCCTGGAAGGAGCCCGGCTTCTAAGAGTAAGAAGCATGGTGTAGAAGTCTACACGGTGACCTATAGTAAAGCTGTTGCAGTCATTCATGTGATTCAGCGTGGGTAAGTTTTCTAGACTTATCCACCAGCATCCTCTAACAAACTCACGAGATGCCAACTCTCTTCTGACTTGGTTTCTGAGTCCGCTGGGAATGAGAGTCAGAAGAAACAAGCACTGATGGTTCGAGGAGCCTGCCTCTGATGAAGCTGCCTGTGTGGAGTCTCAAAGTTCAGAAGCTGATGGGGTAGGTTGATGCCAGTAAACTGAGGTGCTTCAAGAGCCCCAGTCAGTGCTGACACTGAAAACCAAAGGCCCTTTAGCAACTATTCAGTCTTTCTTAGAAAAGGGAGCTGAAGGAAGCAGTGTTAACACCACCCCTGGAAGTGCAGCAGAGGCCCGCTGGGAAACAGAGCTTGCCTGCCGAGCCCTCAGCCAGAGCCAGCTGAACTGAAATGTACCAACGCTCAGGCCTCTGTTTCTGTTTAAAAAGGGCTGTGGAAGCTGCCTTCCCTGCCTTTCCCGTCACCCTGCCCTCTTTCTGGAAAAAAAGAAAAGAAAATCCTTGAACTCACTGCCCTGTTCTCTTCTGCCACAGATACAACTATTTAGAATTTGGCCTCGTCTCCACTGAAGCAGTGGCTCACCATTTGTAAGAATGGCCCCTGTGTGAACAGGACACAACATTTCTCTCAGCTTCTTTAGTCAGTAAAAGCTCTCCCTCAAAACAAAAGCGAAAGAAAGAAAGAAAAATCCTCTCTGCCCCCAGTCCTTCGGACTGTGAAAGCCCCACATCCCATTCCCCCACCCCAAACTGAAATATTTATATACACACAAGAAAAATTGTCTTAACAGCAACAAACCAAACTTTGGCTAGGAGAGGAGAACCCTTAGAAAATGGCCAATGGACTGGGCAGTCTGGCGTCCTCTAATCGCACGTTCCTCCCCAGAATCAGTAGGATTGCATCGAGGCCTCTAGCTTCCTTGATGTCTCTCCCCTGGTTTCAGGGAAGCCTCTCTCCCAGTTATTAGGAGAGAAAGGATTCTGAAGGGGGAGAAGATACGCACTATACATGACAGGTCAGCCCCCACACCCTACCCCAAGACAGATCCCTCTGCTTACAAAGAATGCTTGATGCTGTCATACGTCAGTCATTTTAATTCAGGGACAAGAATCAGGATCAGGCAAGAACATGTGTGGAGGCAGGAGTAAAAAAAAAAAAAAAAAAAAATTAAAACTAACAACAAAAAAACAACCAAAACAAACCCCTAACAAACCAGAAGCTCCATGTCTCTGAATTGCTCCCTTTAGCAGCTATCCCGCAGGTGAAAGGTCACCCTAGTACCAATGTGAATAGACCAGGGAGCCAAATGGACCGTGCTTTTCCATTTGCTGATGCCTTCATTTTGGAAATACTGCAGGACCTTTGCCTTTAACAGCTAATAGCTAGAAGAGAAGCACAGCCCCCCTGCCCTGATAACAGACAGAAAATTGCAGCCGGGTAGTGCAGCAGGGACTCACGTGTTGGCCACATGAGTGGCTCTTTCTGGCAACAGGTGAGGTCCTGGCCATTTCAGAGCCCCCTCCCTGTACGGGAGGGAGGGGAGCAGCCTCAGGGGCTTCGGTTTCACGACCTGTAGTGTTCACGAATACCAAGTGGTCCAGGTGCTCAGCTGGCTGTCTTTGGAGGCTAGTGAAGCTGGGTGAAATGGCCATGAGGGCTCCAGACTGTGGACAGAGAAGTGACTCGTACAGGCTCTGGAAGTTGAAAAGTCCTATGGCTTTGGAGCTTGTACAAAGTGTCTTTGCCTGCCCTTACATGCCCTGCTCACCAAATCTCCAGGGACAGTTGATCTAGGGCTCGGTGCTTTATCTTTTGCCAACAGAGCCTCTATTACATGTTTTACACTCTGTGCTGACTTTCTGATGCAAGAGAAAGACTGGGAATACCAGGGCACCTTGTCAGACATCAGCTAACATCCCTTTACTTGCCCTCATCCTCTTCACTGGCACTCGACAATTTGGACTTCTAGCCCGCAAGCCGTGCCCAGACCTCTGGGGAAATCTGGCCACTGGCTATTTCTTCTTCTATCCCTGGGTCCTAAATTCTTGAATCTTGAGGACATGGGAGCAGGGTGTTAGTAAACGGAGAGATGAGCTAAGCGGTGGTTCAAAGAAAGGGAAGAAGCCCAGCAGGAATGCTAGGGTTTGCAGGAAAGAAAAGAATGATCTTTCTCAGACTCCAGAGTTCATTCTGAGACTGGATGCCTAATGAGGTGTTTATTATCCACAGTCTGAGCGCATGTTTGGAAATATTAATACTATAATTCCAAAAACCATGCCAACTATCTCAGGCTGTGCATGTTAAGATGATTGTAAAAAGAATGGAGAAGACAGGAGGGAAGAGGAGAGGAAAGTGTCTTTGTGATTCTCCTGCTTTGTAAGCACACATTCCTATCATCTATTAGCATGTGGATTCCAGCCACAGCCAGTCAGAACTGCCTGCCAAAGACCAGAAGCTCAGAAGACTAGAAGGATATCCTGCTGCAGAGAGGTCTCTGCCACTTCTGCTTGTCCCCCAGCCCGTCAGCACCAGATTCACTTTGGTAATCCTGTCTGCTGATTTCTGATCAGATGCATTTATCAGCTCCTAATGTCTCTCCTTCCTCATTAACTGCCTCTTCCGTGATTGATAGAATAAGCTAAGCACGGACATACAGACATGGAAATGCATTTTTTTTTTTTTACCACAGTTAAAAAAAAAAGAAAAAAAAGAAAAAAATGCACAATCTTTGGAACAAAAGAATTAAAGGCAGAAATTTAAAGGAAAAATACATATTCAAAGAACATAGTGAGGTATAAAAAAGTATTCTCTCTTTTTTTGTGTTTTTTTTTGTTTGTTTGTTTTTCCTCTTCATCTTGCTATAGAGTTCCTCTACTAGTAAATATTGCAATAGCCAGGCCTCATGAACTGGGGGGCTGTCCCACTTGCAGGGGTCTCACGTCACTTCAGTAGGGGGCAAATCGGCTGTAGCCACCTCGGTATAAACTCGCCTGCAATAATTAAAGACACAAAAGTTATTAAAAGGTTGATAAGAGAAGCATTATGAAAGAAGACATATGTCCTGAGAAGGGATTTGGAAAAACAGCTTCCTTAGAAGCTTCAAAGCAACTGGTTAGATAGTGTCTAGTGCATGAGGTCGGGAAACCAACTTCTGTCTCTAAAATGCTCAAATTGGGACCCAAATATTTATTGCTGACCTGATACTTTCAAGGAGAGGGGATCATAATGATTCATTTCATTATTTACACGATTAGCACAGAAGAGAAACTCTGTGCAGTTTAAAACCAGGTCTGTAAATAAGTGGATTTTGAAAAGCATGTGTCTTGTTTACCTTGATTATTTCAATGTAACTGTGACCTAAAGCAGATTGCTGACTTTACCTTCCTACCCATTACCTGACAATGGAGAACATGGTACTTTGGATCGCTATCACTGTCACATCCCATGCTTGAGATGGTGCTGGATTTAAACCCGAGATAATCTTTCAATGAATAAAGCCTATTGCCTCAGTAATTTATAAAAAAAAAAAAACAACCACCAGGTTGTTTCTTGACATATCGATTTTTATCTTTTATATATATATATATATATATATATATAGCTGGGGTTTTAGCTGGACTTTATTCCTTTAATCATTATCAAATGATTTATCTTTTTCAATCAAAAGTTCCTCAGGACCATATTACTCCTTGGGTCATTCTTTTAGTATAGGATTTATAATATTTGGGCACTAAATACAACCTTAGGAATTCCCATCCCTTTCTTTATATTGTATGTCCCTACCTCAATTCTGACACCTCCCCTCTCCCCCACCCAGACCCTATTACTTCCTCCTACAGATCCTCACCAGTAGATTCAGTGTGGAAAATGGTAGGCTCTCGAACATCCTTTATGTCTTAACTGGGACCCATCATCTGCGTCCCTCTCAGACACGGTCACCCGTGTTCCCAGGCCCTTGCCTGGTGGCACTGAAGATGGCAAGAGAAATCTGGCAGGAGGTGGCATCTCTGTGAACCGGCCCCTGCTAAACCCAGTAAGTTCTGGTCACTGGACCTGTTGGTCCTGGGGGATGAGCTCTATGGACGCTTTGCATACTTCTAAGAAAATACTGTATTTTAACACAAATGTTACTAATAAAATATCTTTGGAAAGCAATTGCTTGGTGATTTCTAGTACTATCTCCTGGAAGGCTTAAGAATAGGGACATCTTTTGGCATCTGCATTTGAAACAAGTAAAGTTTTCTGAAAACTTTACTGTGAAAACTAGAGAGTCCTATGTCCCCAAGTCTTAGCTAACACCTATTAGTAAAACTCTGCTCAGGCATGCATCTAACATCTGAGGCAACATAAAACAGCAGACCCCTTTCTGTTGTCTTTACCCAGGCCAGGGGCTCACAGGAGCACACAAAGGAGCCACAGGAATTTACAGGTGGTCCTACTGGATTTAATACTTTGGCAATGGAAACAGGGCTGAATTTATTACCTCCCTAGATCTTCTATAATCTGTAGGTAAAAGTCAGAAGTAAAATGTTTAAAGAAAAAAAAAGGGCACATCTACTTACCACAGCGCCAACTCCATAGCTAGCGGCAGGGGCAAGGGCATGGTAGGGGTCGGCTGTGTACACCCTGCCATAACTGGAGAAAGAAATCCAGTCAGGGATAAAGAGAAAGGAAAGACAGTAATCCGCCCCCCCCACCCCGGCCCCTGGCAAAAAAAAAAAAAACCCACAAAAACTTAAAAGTGTGTTTGACTGTCTAAGGATTTTTGAGTAACTTGGTCTTGGAATGCTATTAGGAAACTAGCAGAATGGAAAAAAAAAATCTGTCTGCTCCTAAAGGCAGTAACTGAAAATTTCTGAACTAAGTCTATAAAACGGAAAAGGGCGTTGGTGATGAGGAAGTGGGAAACCGGGGTCAGAGCCAGAAGGGCCCAAGAACAAGAGGGAGGGAAGGGTCTGAGCTGGTGGGTTTCTGGCGGGGCAGGGTCTGGGGAGAAGGCCTGCAGAAAACCCAGCTCAGCAGCAGCCCCGTGGCCCAAGTGCCCTTCTGGAAAGGGTGTGGGCAGGGGAGGGGTTGGCACACAGCAGCGGGCTCGCCCTCCCTCGGCACCTACCCGTCGCTGTAAGCGGCTGCAGCGGCGGCAGCGGCGGTGGCTGCAGTCGCGGTGGCAGGCTGTGCGTATCTGTAGGCTGCGTACCCACCCTACAGGAGAGAAGAGAACTCACTTTACAGACACCTCTCCCCCCGGGGGACAGGTGCACACACACCCGCCCACACGCAGACAGACGGGACGCAGAGACAGACATGGACACAGACACACACGTGGGGAGAGAGTGTTTCAAACTGCATCAGTCTGCATGTTGCTCCTCACTGCAAAATTAAGCTCCGCCCAAAACAGGGATTTGTTTTGCAATTTGTAGTAGTAATATAAGTAAACTACACTGGGGTACCTGTTCTCAAATTTAAGAAGTGAAGATATGATTTACAATACTTTTTTTTTAATTAAAATACAGTTGATGTACAATGTGGTGTTAGTTTCAGGTATAAAGTAATTCAGTTATATATCTAAGTATCTATTCTTTTTAGGATTCCTATTATAGGTTATTACAAGATATTAAGTAGAGTTTTCTGTGCTATACACTAGGACCTTATTGGTTATCTATTTTCATATATATAATAGTATGTATGTTTTAATCCCAAGCTCCTAATTTATCCCTCTTCCCCTCAAAATGAAGATATATGATTTTGGATCTATCTTTGTAGGAACTTTCAGCAAGGAAAATATTTATAGCAAGTTGGTAGAACTTTATCTGACAGGAAATGGAAACTTTAGAATTAAAACATGTAGGTTTATATGTGCTATCTTCAGATTCTCTAACGTGTACTTGAACTGATCTACTGCTAAAAGACAGCAGTTTATAGAGAAAGGGCCCATACAAGTGCTCTGCTCCTTGTGGCCTAGCATGTTTGCCAAGAGGCTAGGACAACCAAATGACATTTAGAAGGAACAGCCAGTGTACACCAGCGGCTGGCACACCTCCACATGTGGGCCAATGTGGTTTGCCACCTGTTTCTGAAACTAGCTGTAACACAGACCGTATGGCCAATGAAGATGAAAGGCTTTACCACTTGGCCCCCTACAGAAAAAGTTTGCCAACTTCCCGTCTGTATTTCAGACTCAGGCACATCAGATTACAAAGGGCTGGGGGCTCCTTGGGCTAGGTTCAAATAGATTAGGAAGCCCTTCCCACCTCCCCCAAGCATTTAACTGCACTTGCTTTTCTTCCCTAAAAGGTTTTGGGATCCTTACGTCCCAATCTCACAGCAGGGTCTGGAGCTTTTCTTCCATGGGTTCAAATATCCTCTTAGTCCCAAAAAGCTTCCAACTCCCCTGTCCTGCTATTTTACCTCCGTTTAGATGAATCGAATACTCAAAAGGTTTTTACTGCCAGGGTGAAGCATGTGTATTTCTTCACAGAGTATTTCAAAGATAATCACAACAAGAAATGGCAAATGAGACAGGCTACTGGAAAAAGAGGAAAGCCCTAAGTTTCCTTCTTTTTCTTTACCTTTTTAGAATTCATCTATTTTGCCTAAACCTAATTCAGCTGTGTACTTATATTTATTGTCTTAGCTCCATCAGATATAGCAAAATATAACTATGTCTATTTGGGGGGCTTCTCAGCAGTGAGCCACAGCCCATTTCGTTTCCGTAGACTAGTATGTCTATTTCTCATGGACATCTGAAGCTTTCTGCCCTGTGCTTTCTACTTTCGGTCTCTTCAAATGTTCAATTCTTGCTAAGTCTACAAAAAAATTTTGAATTTTTCTGTATCGTTTCTTAGGATTGAAGACAAGCATTTTCTAATGGGACCTCTGGTCTTCTTAACCACCTTACTGGGCAGCTTCTAGCTTGCTGCTTTTATTTCTGTCCAAATCTTCTGGAAATACCTGTAATTTCTTCTTACGGCTTTTTGCTTCTTTCTTATATAATTTATGCTTTCTCTAACTGAAGACACTGTACTGCGGGGTAAAGTATACTCCTGCTCTTTAAATTTATGTGCCTCAAATTCATCAGAAGTAGCTGCAAATAAAAAAAAAAATCCCTGATTGGTTTTCAGTGGTTTTATATTATTTCTTCCTTGCTTAAGTGAATGATTTGAACATTGCTTCAATTATATATCTTTCCATAAATATTCATACAAATAAGAAGATCCTCATTGACATCACCAACACTGGCAGTGGGACGGTGATGACAGGGCCATGGCAGGAGCACCCTCAAGGGCTGGCTGTGACCCACGAGCTTCCTCTGAGTTCCAGCCAGGCCCACCAGGACAGGCAGGGCAGACTGGTCTGGGTAAGGCCCTGTATCCAGGCTGCAACATGCACCCTGTCATACATACACGCCTAAGTATCTACACTATATAAACTAACTAAAGTATCTCCTTGCTTCACTTTTTTTACAAAAACTTCCAAAAAAGAAATGAAACAGTAAAAGCAGCTGTTAAACAAAACAAGATGTTAATCATTGTAGTTGAGATTTTAAATTTTGTATAAATCTTGAAGGTTCACTTTTTCCGTATCATTATAAATGGTTCCACTAGTTTAGAATTAAAGTTTGCTAGCGTGAAGTCTAGAGCAGGGCCATGTTCAGGAAAACCTCTTTGTAAATGAGGATGATGCGGTAAACAGACATCAGGAAGTCTGTCCCTTCAGCAGGTCTTCAAAATTCAAAATAATCTCTAAAAATGGAAAAAATCAAGCTAATAAAAGCAATTAAAGCCCAATGTATACTACCTGGGTAAAGCAACTAAAAACTTAAGTTCTATGCCATGGAGCAGAGGTATACATTCCCATAAAAATACTAACTAGATTCGAAGTAACTCCTGGTATGTCAGATATACTGGGGATTGTATTCAATCATTAAATTTGAGCAGTAGTGCACTAATTCTGGAAGAAAAGAGGTTCTGAATGAGGTTACTGATAGACATTTCCTCTTGGTTTCCTCAGCCTGCAAGAAACCAGGGGAACCTCAGTGGTTTGGGGGCGATGCTTTTGTTTTATATTTTTTGAACTTTTTATTTTGTATTGGGGTGCAGCCAATTAACAATGTTGTGACAGTTTCAGGTGAACAGCGAAGGGATTCAGCCATACACACGCATGCACCCATTCACACCCAAAACAGTAATGTTACTGTTACCAAGACAATTTTAAATGGACCAGGCTGTGGGAAAGAAGGCTCCTTCCAAACTAGAAGGAAATGCAGATAATCTACCTCCAGTCCTTTCCTTTTGCTTTAAGTGAACTCTGACTCTGGAGCCTGAATTTGTTGAGGGTCTTTTGCCATTCAAAATCAGAAGCGCAAGACAGAGGTGCAAATATTTTATTGATAACAAAAGGCTCAAGAAGAATGTCAACAGAACTTTAAGAAAACGACATCAATTTGTTCTTTTAAAAAAGCAGATAATATTTCCACATGTCTACTCTTCTAATTACTTTACGATAATGGCGCTACAGACAGGCTCTTTTAGGAGAAGGGATCTACTTTTAGGACAGGAAGTAATATCCTAATTAACTTGTTAATTTTATCGACTATCCCTAAATTAGACAAGCTAAATTGCATGTCACGGGTTTACTCCTCTTAGATGTATTCTTAGTCCAAAGTATTTCTGATGGTGCTTTCAATTGGTTATTCAACAATGTGTCTCACCATAATATAAGCCAATGAACATTCAGGTGTGTTTATTTCCAGTTTGGATACTGGAAGGCATAAAGCATCCAGGCAGAGAAACCATTTTCTCAACTTTCACTTCTATGAGCAAATCTGAAGTTGTTTATGGAACATGAGAACAAAGTGCAGTTTGAAACACCAAGGGTTTCATTGCTGTTTCTCAGGTTTTTCAAAAAGAACAAGGGTTGGGGAGGGGGTAGGAGAGACAGGGTTCAGGCGTGGGGGAGGGGTATGGCGCCACATTTATTAATCACATTAAAAACTAAGCATGCCAACATCTGGAGCTAGAACGACCAGCAAAATCACCACGTTCAGACTCGGATTGGCTAACTCTATCTATCCCAGCATTCTCTTGGGACAGCGGTTCGCCCTAGGCTCTACCACAAGCTCGGTGAAGTACACAGCCTCAATTACTAGAGCGTGCAGCCACAACGACCTGGTATTACGGAAACAGTCAGTCACCACTGGAGTTAACATTCCAGACCCTAACGACTGGCCCCTCCCAGCCCAGAGAAAGAGTCAATCTGGCCCGCCCGAGCCCTGGCCCACACCACGATGTTAATAATTATAACAAGCAGTAACCCATCTGTTATATCAGAGAAGGGAACAGAGACTCCACTGAGAGATTTAGAGTGAGATGTTAACATTTCTTCAGCTGACTGCACAAACAAACAAACAAAAAAAGAGGAGAAATAATTCATTTGGAGATATGAAGTCATGAGATAGCTGATGTGTATTGCTTTGAACCATGCACCAATGCAAAACTGAAGCAACCATTAATAATAAAAATTAAAAAGGACATATGTATTTACACACAATCAGACCTGTTTGATCTGAAGCAGTTTGCAGATTCTATCTGTGTGTGATTTGAAATAAAACAAAAAATGGGGATTAGCATGGCCACAGCACACCCTAATGTCGGAGGGCAGACACGGACAGCTTTTTGGAACCTGACAGCTGGATAAATCTGTCATGGCTAAGCCTGATCCAAATATTCCACACACCCCTTTACGAACAATTACTTTCTTATTCCTTTGTAATTCATTCTGAATGACTCCTAATGCTCCCAACTGGGGCAGCCCAATTTCCACTCCCCTAATCAATCTTCCTGATTCACTTCTGACCCACAGTGCTCACTTGTATGCTTGCCCTCTGTCAACACCCAGACATACTGATCCAGTGTTCTAAAGTATTTCCTGTGTTTAAGCATTCTATCTTTTCACATTTCTGTAACACATCCCCGCCTTCAAATTCTAACTTCTTCAAATGAAAATGCTGTTACCTTTAATATCATTTTGTTGTTGTTAAACTCTCACTTTTCCACTGCTCAATGTCACCTAGGGACTCCGCTCTGAACCAGTGTTGTTGTCTAGTGAACTTCAGAGTGCGGCCACGCCGACCACCTGACTCCTCTGCACAGGCCTGAGCTGTGTTTTAATTAGAACCGAGTGGAAGGGTTCTACAGAACCTCTCCTCTTACACCTGGCCTTTCTCTGTCTCCATTTAACCTCCCCTTGTCCTGATTTTAACCTGGCCATTAAGTATATTACTACATTTTTGTTTTAGGATTTACATTAAAACAGGACTTTGGTGAGCATGTGATGTCAAGACACCTTCTTTCTACCTGGAAGACAATGACATTATGTGACACTGAGGAGAAGAATGTATATTTCAACACCAGCACACGAATGAAAGCTTGTTCCCTGCATGTGGTGTATGGATTTACAGAGCGAAGGGAGGGGGTGGGGGTGGGTAGGCAGGTGGGGAGAATGGCAGGTGTGATGCTTTGGATCACTATAGCAGAGCAGAGATCTAGTCCAACTGGCTTAGGCCTAAGGCTGTGCCTCTGGGGATCACTGTCTTTACATGATTCTAACTCCTTCCTTTCCCTCACCTCCTCCAATGAGATCCACGGCTCTGGACTGAACTTGTATGAGGAGGGGCTCTTCAGGAGAACAGAGATTCTTTGGTGGCCAATATGGCACACTGGATTAAATGTGGGTAAGACAGATGTGAACACAAAACTTGTAATAATGATAATATTGTTACTGCTTTTGACTGGGAGACCTTATCTACTTGGAAGAGTAGATGATGAAGAATTTTTAAGGAAAATATTTTAAATTTCTATTATTATTAAAACTGGGGTTAAGGAAAGGAATCTTTATGACTGATTTGGTATCTTCCACTTACTACTTTTATGATAAAAGATGATCTTCAACTGACTAAGCCTTTCAAATACTCTTCTTCCACATCTCTATAATCGGTTTACCTCCAGAAGCTCACCGGGTGGCCACATAAATAGACTAACTGAATTGTGACAAGTTACCTGCTGCTTCCCTTTTTGCTGAGCACCCACCCAGCTACCAGCAAATCGAACAGGGCATCATGATCCACTGCCTTCGCTAATCTGGTTTTAAAGTGAAAAGGAGAGAGGGCCTGGGAAACACATGCTTCCATTTTAGAGTTCTAGTATACCTAGATTTTTAGGACAAGTTCAAACTTACATAGCAGCACAGCCCAACTACTACTATGACTTCACAACAGGGGCCAATTTGGGATTCAGAAATCCTGTCTAGACGGATTCTACTTTCTCTCTTTTCTCATTTCTTTCACAGAAGTAAGATGATGTCCCAAATGGCTAAGCTCTTCATAATATAAAAGACCAGTTTCAACACCATGGATATATGTGATTGACAAACTAAAAGAGGTGGCAGTGATGGGACAGTGCGTGTAACACACCTGGTGCGGATGTGTGGCAATGGGGCGGGAGCACGGAATTTTGGAGGAGGTGCCCTCATGTAAGGAGCTTGACTGGGTGCACTGCTGAGGCAGCAGGCCTTAGATCACACGCTCACAAGTCTTGATTGTCCAAAAAAGCCTCTGTTCCCATCTCTAACGTGGAGCTGGAATGGTTAGTATAATTCAATTTTTTCACTGCAATCCACAATCTGATTGATTGGCAGGTCACACTGGCACTCCTACCTGAGGTATTTTAGCGCTAATGATTGGTTCCTGTAAGACTATTCTATAACAGAACACAGGAAGAGCAGTTCAAAAAACACAGCTGTGGAAGGAAAACAATCATACAAAAAAGCCCGCGAAGGGGCCCACCAGCCTTTTCTTTCCTTTGGATGCAAGCATGCTTTTCACAGGGTGAGAATTAGGAGCACTTGTTATCCCATTAAAAAAGTGAATTAGGGTGAATGGTATCTTTTCTACTGATCAGAAAAAGAGGGGGTGGGCAGACACATAATCTACCTGTGACACTCCCAAATCTTAGCGTGGGGAATCTCTTTACAAGTCATGGGCACAATTGCTAGATCAGTTCTCCAGAGAGGAATGTGCCATGAAAGACACGAGGAGGAAGAAAGTGGCCAGCAGGGGTTATGGCCTAAGAAGAGGACAGGGAGAGATTACAAACAAAACAAAACCAAAAAAACCTACAAAAAAACACCTTCACAGTTAATAGCTTAAATTAATATAGCTTAAATAAAAGCTAGCAATTTAAACTCTTTTCCCTCATGTTGCCTCCTCAAGTTCAGGTTCAGGGCACTTTTTAAACTAGATAAACCAACCTCTCTATTTCTGATCTTCCTTTCTGAGATAACAAGAACTAAACATACATTAATAGATTTTCACAGAAGGGAAAATGTACAGAGAGAAGCAGAAACAAATTCAACATAAAATGATAGGGGTTTTTATTGTTGTTTGTGTGTTTTTGAAAGAAGCCTCCTTGGCCACCTCACACATGGGGTGGGGAATGTGCAGTTTTAAAAGCTGTATTCAAAGGTAACTCTGAACCTCACTCAACAGTTCCCACCTCATGTTTTCTGGTTTTCCATTTGTGGGTTTAGGTATTATTTCAGCACTAGTAACCAACTTTTTCTTCTTTCCTCTAAGTAACTAACTGGTTTAAGATAACTAAGAAATAATACCATTACTATTCAGTCTTTTCATCAACTACAGGCCACGGGTCAAAAAAATGTTTTGGCAAGGTCGCTGAATTACCTCTGTTCAGCTTGATAAAGTGGTCCAATTTGTAGATTAAAAAAAAAATCAAGACTATTTTCTCAACAAGTGCAGAAAAATCATTTCTTTCTTAATAAAGTCATATATTGTAAACTAAGGAAATGAGAGATCTGTTAACAAATACTCAGTTGGATGACTTAACAAGGTGGAAGGAGGCAAATCTTAATAAGGTAGAAGTACATTATTCTTAAGAAATCCCCAAATAAGATATCAGAGAAAAAATTCCCAATTCAAGTGGAAGTGTACTCTAATAGACCAGATTTCAAGAAAACTTAAATAACATAAAGGTGAGCTTCATGAGACTATGTATACTAATGTATATGGGAGGATGTGCATGCTTATAAGAGCTTATGTAAATACATATATTTAGAAAAGTGCACTCTGGTATAAAAGTAGGATATATTAACAGTTTCCTAATCCTCAAGTTTCACCGTGAGCATAAGAAAAAAAGGTCTTTCATTTACTTCTTGAAGACCATCAGAGGAAGCATGTAGATTTTAACTAAATTACTATGAGAGGTAATGAAGTATTGATTATTTGGGTTTTATGCTTGGATAAACAATTTCGGTAATCTGGGTAAGTCACAATCTAAGAAACATATCCACAAAGTGTGGAGGTTGGACCAAATCATGGCTAAGGTTCCTTCAAGCATGTGTTCAAGTGTACTTTGAAGGTCTGCTCTAAACGGCAAGGTGTGTACACCCCCCACCGTATCTCAAGAGAACCACTCTCTCCTGTCTAATTCCAGCAATACAGAATGCATACTCCACATGCATTCTGAAAGGGCATTAATAGTTTAATTGCTGGGAATCTCTGGCAGACTGTGGAAACAGTTCATTAAAAAGGTACCCTTATCGACTTTGGAGAAATTAGGGTGGAGAAAGCATTTCCAGACAATTCTACACTGTGCTCAAAGAATCATTTCATGATGACAAGTTTTTCTCAGGAAACTATTTCTTAACAATGTGGGTAGTTAGACTAAGCATGCATTTAGAAAGAGATCTTTGGAGAGAGGTCCTAATAAAAGACTTGCAAAACTCAAAAACTTCACTCTTTTGTCAGTTAGATCATTTTGCCCACATTTTAAATAACATGTGACCACCAATCATGAGACCTGAACTATAGCTAGACACTTTAAATCATGGATAGTAATAAAGATGTTACCATGGCTGGTCAAATCAACAAATCCTGTATGAGTCAAACGTTTGTAGAAGAGTGTAGGTTGCTAATGATGCCATTTGTTTCCTTCTAGATGGCTTTTAAAGAAAGAGCCCCACTGGCTGTGGACCTTCTGATATAGAAAAGCCTTATGCACGGAGTATTTGGTTTCCTCTCATTCCTACCCACTCTCCACTGGCATCAATTCCTCACCTCACTTTCACAAGACACTGCTCTCTCAAAGTATGTGAAACAGGAAAACACACATTTCAGGAAGCTTCTTGCCATCTACAGAAATCAAAGCCCTAATGATCTAAAGAGGGATGTGAAATGAAAAGAAAAGCAGAAAAGGGAAAGAGCTGGTTTCAGGCTACGCTTGTCCTGTTTATGTATGCACATGAGACGACAGGAAGAAAAGACTTTAAACCTGCTGATCATCTCTCAAGTATATTCGTGATACAGAGAACATCTGTGGGCATAGGGAAGGGAAAAGAATATGTCCAGTAGACTGATTCTAGCAATGACCAGGAAACCCAAAGGCTTAGTTTTTGCACCCAGGGGCAAGCGCAGTGGCAGAGAAGCATGCTTGCATTCTTAAATATATAAATATATATATATCCACAAGGAAAAAGAAAATAAAAATTAAATAAACTATATAAAAAAAAAACAAAACAAACCAAAGAAAAACAGAAAAAAAAAGGCTGGCTTGTCAGGGGATGGGGACGAGAAGGCCCCAGTGTGTGTACTTACATAGAGGTCAGCACCGTAAAATCCGTCCTGGTAAACCACACTGCAGAAAATCCACACAAAAACAAAAACAAAAAAACAAAAGAACAGAAACACATTCCGGTTATTGAGGACGGCAGCATGCACATGCGCTCTACACGGGCAGGTGATGTATGAATACGGACCCTGGGCTGGAGAGGTTGGGGCGGCTCTGGGACAGGCAAGGCAGGGGAGGGTTGCAACCCTAGAAGGAAATGCCTGCCAATCTAGTAACTAGAGTGGGATGAGAGAAATAAAGAGCATCCCCAGAGGGCCAAGTATAGCTATGGAGAACCTGCTGGATTGGAAACACCAACCTTTCATATTGAGAGTATTAAAAAAAATAAGCTTGTCCTAAGAGGACGTTTTTCTTCAAAAGGGGTGTGTGTATGTGGGGTTGGGGGCAGGGTTTGTGCAGAGAGGGGTTAAATATGAAAAAAAGAAAAAACAAAAAAAAAGCCCCAAAGAATCCCACTAGGGCAGGACCTGTATGCAAAGTATGCTTCAACATTATGTTTAGTATTTTGTTATCAGTTTCAGAGTAATGTGGAAATTCTTTTCTGATATCCATACATCACCTGCTTTTTACCCTGCACATTAGACATGCGATAAGATTTGGCTGATCACACAAGCATGCAAAGTATTATTATTCAGCATTTTAAGAACCAATGCAACACCTCAGAAAAACAAGTCAATCAATTCTGACCAAAGTAAACAGAGAAATGTAATTAAAAAAAAAACACAACCAAAAATACCCACAATGCATTGCTTTCACAAGCAGAGATAATGAGCTAAAGGTTAAGGTGATTGGTCCAAGGTCCAAGAATTGAAAGGTGCAGTGGGGATCCCAGATAGTAACAATATAATCCAGAGTGGGAGGAGTAACTGGAAGACTTTAAGGGTTCTTTTTTGACCATAAGAATATTCATGGAATTCTGAAAAATACAGTTGATAACTGAGGTTCTGGGCATGACCTGTTTTATTTAAATGAATAAAATCGAGAAGGTAGCTTGATTAGGAATAAAAAGATTTATTTTCCTGTTTAGAAAAATTTGTATTGAACAAAAAAAAAACACCACATGATTCTATTTTTAATCCTAAGTAACACTAAACTATTATAATGAAGATATAGATTTCAAGCCTTTTGAGGTATTTTGTGAATATAATTTCCCTAAAATGTTATTTTGGGACCAAAAGACACAGAATAGCAGTAGAGGAAAAAAGATAAAAGTCTTTTCACTAAATCAAGATTTGGTTACTTAAAATTAAAAGATCTGTTTATCATTTATTCAACTAAACAAGCTGGAAATTTTCACTACTACCTTCTCCACTATAATAAACAAGCTAGTAAGTAAGGTTATCAAGTCATAGTTTTAATATGAATATGAAAATAATTTATTTTTTACAGGTAGCTATAAAGTTTCTGAATTCTACCCCCAGTGAGGTTCTGTTGTATTTACAGGACAGTATGATCACACTTTGTGATGCCCCAATTATTTCGTGCCTTTGTATTATAAAATAGGCAAATCAAACTCATCTCTGAGGTCATTTAGGTAAATTCTGTCCATTTTCAGTCTCCAATTGCAGCTAAAATCTGAGGTTAGGAAAATCTGACTCTCAATTGCATTTTAGTAAAAAAGAGACTTGTTCATAATGAGAAGGCTGATAAAATGCCAAAGCATTGATGCCAAGGGGTGACTAATTAACCTTCAACTATTTTAGTAAGGGGAAATAGGCAAAGACCGAAAGTATTTCTCCTATAGAGAAGAGTGGTGGTATTAAAAACATGAGTAAATTTTATGCTAAACTGTTTCACTCATTGGGAATATTCACCTAAATTCTAGAAGAATTCCAATATTCCCTATATCAAATGCCACGAGGAGGCTAGAACACAATGATTAATGATGAAATTAGTTCACTAAGCTAAAAAGCAATTTTAGGCCATTCCCCATAAAATACTGGACTTATTCCTTGCCATCTTCCATGTAAACAGGTGGTTTAGTTAATAAAAAATAAAACATGGGAAATTAGCGTTCAATGTAATGCACAGAAATTGATGTGATTAGACATAAAGGTAAAATATCTTTGAGCAAATATATACCTGACACAGACTTGGTAGAGAATGGGTTTTCAAGTTTGGCCAATATACTGAAATGACCTATATTGAATAGGAACAAATTCGACCACTTGATAAAGTAACTCAGGAATATTACAAAATACAGTCCCATGTTTCTGGTGAGCAGTATCTCTTTGCAAACATGACAGTACAATCTTTTGGAATGAAATGGAAGACACTTTGTAAACAATTTTCCTAGTGTGTAGAACATCCAAGGCTCAGTTTTATGTTTTACTTGAATATAGCTTGATGAAACAATATTGTATCTTTAGTCACTGCTTTAAAAGGAGATGTCAGAGGTTGAAGGTCAAAGGTCAAGTTGAGAGGGAAAAAAGGATAAAATTAAAAGTAATGGCAGAAGATGGAGATGATGGAATGCATGGGATTTAAACATCTATAAACTGCAAACAAAGGTTTATTTCTAAAGTAGTTCCCTTCCAGTGGCTTCTGGAGCCTGCCAATTTCAACACTCATATTTGTCTTATCTGATAAAAATGCTTTAATTCTGTGTAATTGAGGACCCCGAATGGCATGTCCCTTTGGTCTATGACTGGCCACTAAATCGGTACACCTCACAGTCAATTTTGCTGTTAGAAAAGGACCTACAAAGGAGACTCTTTCTCTTTACATTTTAACTAAGTAGCAATGAATAGGCTGCTCTACCACTGTTTATTCTTCAGTAAGTATATGGGGAAAAAACCTGTCACAGGCAGAAAAAAGATGAGGAACACAAACGTCACATCTTTGAAGAAAGAAAGTCCTGATACAACTAACTTATAAAAGTCCACTCTTTATATAAAAATATACATTGTAGGCTGACCTTAAGAAACAACGGAAATCAAAACCTGCCATCTTCACTCCTCCTCCCCCATTCAGTAACAAAGGATTTATTTGTTGCTATGGAATCATTCCACTGCATGAGACACCCTCCATACAAAAATCAAAGGGTGAAGGATGCTCAGCTCCATCAGTTGTTTTACCATCATTCAGAAGCCAACTGTAGTTTTATTCTTCCTACTTCTCCCTTTCTCCCTTGATTCAATTGGACTTGGTTCATCTTTGAATTAACCTCTTTTAATCCGTCTCCTACAAAGAAAGCAAATCCATTGTGGGTAACTAGCTCTGCTGCTCACCACCCAGGCAGTGAAGCCACAAGGGAGGGCACATGTGAGAGCCTCAGCCCCAGCAAGGGTGGTGGTGAGGGCTGAGCCCAGCAGATGCAGTCTTGCACTACCATCTTGAGCTCCTAGTTTGGTTCTCTGCAGGAGTGTTAATCCAAATTCGTGCGATGCTGAGTGAACTCCATGCCAACACACTGCTAGTGAACACAAGACAGTTCTGGCTACTGTCTTAAGCCACTACTGTGAGGGCTTAAGGTGGCCAAGATGAAGATTTATATAATGCATTGATATTCTGTTACATTCTGACAATGGTATGGTTCTTGCCATCTAATCTGTTAATTTGCAAATATTCAAAGAATCTCTACTATGTGGCACGGCAACATCCCAGAAGTTATAAGAGGGCCATGGTATTCTGGTTTTATCCAGTCGCTTATTTGGGACTCTACTGCTTACCCTGGATAGGCGGGAATGGCTGCTGGAGGTACCGCTCGGACTGCGCCATATACCGTCCGCCCTCTGCCCCTCAGGTGGGCTCCTCTGAAAGCGGCCGCCGTGGTGGCTGCAGTTGGGTAAGGGAAGCCAGGAACTAAAGGGAGACCCAAAATATGACAGAAATGTCAACTTGCATTCAGCAGCACGTGTACGATCACAACCTGCTTTGCAACAATTACAGGAAAGATGAAAAGATACCTCCACATCACAACTTTTCTCAAAAAGAAATGGAAATATGCGATATGCCATAACTCAGTGACACCATGCCTCATTTATCACAAATCATGAGTTTTCTTTGTTCCTTCCCAATTTTGGTCTTACAATGCAAGCTGATGAGAAACGGGTCAGGAAGCTCTTGAGAACTGCTGCCATAATGGAGACGAGACTTTTCATTCCTACAGACAGTTTAAGTTGTTTGATATAAACTCTTTAACTGACTATTAATCTCATTTCCAGATGTTATTACATCCATTTCAATAATTATTTTTCATAAGAATATCCTTTTCTGCTTTTGACATGCCGCCACATTCCAAGGCACACTAAATTGTCTTCAGACACATCATGAGTCCACATAACTCTTTATCTAACATGTTTCAGTCCAGAAATGAGAGGTGAGAAGGCAACTGCCTCTCCCCTGCAGCCCTGTGTCCTTTACAGAGGCAGACATTCTCCAGGGGCCTGTTTTAAGTGTGCTATCCTCTGGAAAGCATGAGGGGACATTGATTCCGTATCCACTGAACTCTGTTTAATTCTCTCTCTTGCTGGAGCTAAATAGCTCAGGTCAAAATGACTTTAGAGATACCAACAGAGCTGAGAATAATCAATAAAACTCGAGCGGCATTTGAGTGGTATTCTACTCAAGGGCCCAGACCTGACTTACAGACATCATGTACAACACGTTCCACCAATAATCCCTTCTTTGTTTGCTTCATTACAAAGTGCAGAATTAAAATTTTCTTTACATGTCCTCATCCTCTTCTACCTTTTCTGACTATTTATGCTTTGTGGCCACCTTAACATTTGATCAAAAAGATTCTAGCACAGGCTATTGAGATTCCACCATAGGACAGGGCATTAATGATAGTATTTAACTCTCTCATGAATGCCTCCTTTTCAGTTACATGTATTTGGGGGGACAAAAAGACCAATACATCACTGTTTACTTACAACAGTCAAACTCCATGCCAGGTCAACATAGGCTACTTACTGATTAAAGGAATGTAAGTGTTGATACCCCCTCTTCCTGACAGGGGCACGGCTGCGTCGTTGCCTAGGGACACATCTGCTTGGAAACTGGATGCTGAGTGCATTTAGGAAATGAAAAGGTGCAAAAAGATTACCAAGGAGTAGGAAATTGAAAAACAGTAAGTTTATGTATACACACACACACACACATATATGTAAATAGCACAAATGGAAAAATTAAATACTACCTGCATACAACTCAGGGCCATATACAGCTCCAACTACTGGGCTTAATTTCCAACCTGAAATTGGAAGAAAGGACAGTGAGCAAATGTTTAAGACTACATGAGGAACAGATAGAAGGTAAAGGAGGGCTTCAGACGCTCTGGATTCATTTTTGCCTGGTACCATCTTCTCTTTAGGATGCTGGTGGGGGTTTACACGAGAGGGTGATGACATCTCTGGACCTGACCCTCTTTAAGCAGGACTAGCACAGTGAAGGGATAATGAATATTTGGCAGAAGGAGAGGCGGTGGGGGAAAGAGGAGGTGAGAAAAAAATTGAGAGGGAGGGAGGAAGGAAGATGGATAGGGAATGAGAGAAGGAGAAAGAAATATAAATAAATCCTGGGGGTTTTGTATACTGTCTCTCACAGAACTGCTAATTGACCTAGTCCTTGTTTAGAAGAAGGGGAAAAGGCACAATATATGTAATTCGGTATCCCACTGTGATGCACTGTCTTCTATATCATCTTGACATTGTTTACTACTCTAGCTGTTTTATTATAAAACAGTATCCTTTGACTGAATTCAAATCTGACCTGGACCTCTGAACTCCATATTCATTTAGAGCATGCTAATGGTATTCTAGGTAAATGGAAATCTTCTTTCACTGGGATTTCCCACTGGGATTTCACTGGAGTTAACCAAGTCACCAAGGAGAGACATGCAATGATAAAATTCAAGGTATGTTCCTAACTTTGGTGCATGTCTTCTGAGATTTTAATCTGTAAGAAGTACATTTACATTAATCAGACTTTTGAGCTAAAGAATACAAGACCACTACAGAACATAAGTGTAAACACTTTAAGTATTTCCAAACATTAGGTTTGATGTCACTTTAATTTCTACATTCCCTTTTTTATATTTATAGGGATATGGCAAGTGGTAAAAAAAAAAGAAAGAGAGAAACATTCTATTGCCCACTGATAGAGTAGCATTCCACATGAAAAATCTTAGTAAATATTTCTTGAATTTTATCATTTTATAAAATTTATAAAATTTTTATAAATAAATAAGCCATTTTATTTTTCTGAAAGATTGGCTCTTTGGTTTAATTCTTTTATAACATTGTAACATTGTGTCACTGCTACTCTATAAATATGTGACTGGAAAGATGAAAAGGCCAATCACCAGATTTAAATGACTATAAGCCAAGACATTACTCGAGAAAACCCATTCATTTGGAATCATTCCAATCCCCCATTCATTGTTGTATGTGTTTATAGACATGCCTCTTCATTATTCTGCATGAAAATTTCAAAATTTGTCTTCAGATTCTACTGGAGTTGTAAAAGCACAAATGTTCTGCATTGTTAGACAAATCAGGTGACTCAAAGCCAGTAAGAACATGCTGAGAATTCACCTTGAAGGCACCTAGTATGCTCTTTGCAGAATCTCTAACACAGCAGCTGCAGGTTTCTAAAGTCTGCTCTTGTAGGCTTGAGTAGTGATTTAGAATATTAAAAAATGAACTTTTCCTTTCCTACCAGTGGCACTACTACTTTAAGCACTCCCTTTAAATGCATACAATGGATGCACATGATAATAATGGAATATTGTCAACAAAAGCTTGAATATGTTTAGTTTTGTACACTTTACAATGTATTTTTACAGGTGTTTATGTCACTTGATTTTCACAAAACTGAAAGAGAGTGATAAGATAGGCACCACTTCTGGGACAATGAGTAAGTATCAATACTATATTTCCCTGGGCTTTATTTCCTAAAGAAAAAGCTAAGAAGGCTGGGTTTTGATGACTAAGAGCCTGGTGGTGCTAAAATTCTGGCTGCCACTTGATAGAGGTGAAAACAGAAATGGGTTAGGAAACTGGCCCACTGTCACAGAGTAAAATGAAGAGACAGATTGAGCAGGAGAATTCCTGTCTTTTCAATTCCAGTCAGTAGCTCTGTCTGTCCCACTGGATCTAAAGGAAATCCGCCATACTTTGCCTCTCCTTATTTTGTTCAAATTTGATTTTTTAAAAATCAAAATTGCAAAAGCTTGTTTTTATGAAGCAGTGAAAAGAAGAAAACAAAAGGTAACTTGGAAGGTGATGGTATCCCAAGACACACCACTAGTAAAATGACTAAGGAAAACGCAAGTTATGCTAATAAATGCAAATTATGCTATACTCTATTTAAAAAGCTGAGCTACACATTATTTGTTGAAGGTCAACTAATACACTTCTACTTAAGACATTACCAGCACATACTGTCATACTCTAGCAATAGAGGGAGAAACTCTTCTTTTTACTCTAGATAAAATCTCATGCAGAACTCTAAAATATAGAACAGTGAATGAGGTTCTTCAAAGTGGAGCCATGGGCCTCAAGACCCAGTCCATTCAGTTTTCTCCGCCCCCCCAAAGATGGTCCTGTGGAGCACAGTGTGTAAAACCACTCTTGTACTATAGATTAAAGTTATATCCTGTCTTACTCAGGCAACATGAATCTAGATTAAATTTGACAACCGAAGCAAAAGTTCTGTTTTTGTTAGACAAAATATTTACAGAAAAACTCCCCCTTAATGAGAAACATTTATAAAACTCACTACATAACATGTAACCATCAAACACAAAATATTTTTATTTTTACACACACACATACCCCGTGGCTATTACCTCTAGAGCATTCCTTTAAAAGGAGAACAAGAGGTCAAGAATTATTCCACTCATGTTCAGATAAGTAGGATCTTGGACAAGCCTAACATATTACAAAGAACTACAGCAGCTAAAAGAGGGTTTTGAGGAGAAATCTCAAATGACATGTTCACATTATATAACATGGATTTTACTGAGACTAAGACTATAATAATTAAAAAAACCAAAAAGGTAATTTATAAAAATTAACTCTGCCTGGTAAAAAAAATACTTCAATGTACATAAAAAAATTGAAGAATGAAATCAAAAAAGTCTTTGATGTTTGTGAAAAGTTCATATACCTATACAAGAATAAATGACATAAGTGACATTTTTCTGAAGATGATTCATAACCTCTTACCATTTGCATATGGTGTGACCATCTTCTTATTGGTCATTACACGTGCTGTAGCATTATTCACCTACAGGTACAAAGTAGAAAGGAGGGGCAGGGAGGAAGGAGACCACATTAGGGAACATGAAGGTGCTCATTCAATAACAAAGTATTCAGTTTACAATGCAAATTTCAGAGATAATTTATTTAAATAATCAATATAGCAATAGAAAATATTAATATATAGTATTTTAATTAAAGTGTTCATTAAATGAGGCTAACAAGAGTAAAATACAGTTTCTTGGTCTTCAAATGGAAAACTAGGGCAACTTTACCATCCAGGACTCCAAAGAAAAAGTACATTTGCAAGTTCTTCGGAGATCTTTTAACAGAGAAGTCTCTGCACTCAGGAAAATATGGAAAAAAACTGGAAAGAGCCTTGTTTGCATGTGAACTTTGAAGTTCATTAATAAAACAGAGGCTTGCTACATTGGTTCAGGAAACAGATTTACAGGAAGATAGGAGAAAAAAATCTGTGGACCTGATCTGTTCTCATGTTTATCACTGTTTACATGCTTGTATAAAATTTTACTCTTTGAGGTCACTAAAAAAGTATAGGAACTTAAGATTCCTATGTTGACAGGCTTTAGGACTATTTTGAATTTTCTAGATTATGTGCCCTACTCATTTAAGAAGAAAGTTTTCAGAAGGCTGGTATATCAGGCACTTAAAAGAATTGGAAAAAAAAAAAAGTTTTATGTTTCTTTTGTTTTATGGTACTCTCTACCCTCATTACAGAACTGCATGATTAAAGCATTCTCAGAGCTAAGGTAAGTAGGCATTATAAAGATGGTGCTGATGAAGAAAAGATGAATGGCACTTAGAAGCCAGGATCCTGTAGTCAGTCCAGTGTCAGAATCAGCTTCAAAGTTCTTACAAGGAGGGTAGAGCCTTACCATAGAACCTGGTTATATACTATGTTGTCAGGTACATAGAAACAGACCAGTTTTTAAAAGAATTATAAAACATAAAAATTATACAAAATATGTTTTATTTCACTCTGGGGATGTATATTATATTAAATTTGAATAGCAACAAATTTGCTACCAAAAACTCCACCAATTTTAGGTGGAGCTGGAACCAAAAATGTTTTGTGTTTTTTTAAGATTTGTATAGTGATCACCTTCCTATGTGAGGAAGAGCTTGAAACTTCATTTACTCTAGTTTGCCACAAAATCATATCAACATTTCACATTTAAAAAGAAAGAATGGGATACACAATGATGAGACTGAGAGCATGCAGTTAAAAAACACACACACACAAATAAAAGAAAGAAAAAAATAATCAATTTTGGAAAGACGGGAGAAAGTGAAGAGCGAGGCTCTCACAGACAAGGATTAGAATGGGGCAACAGCTTCCACTAGCTGCTAGAGCAGAAAGCACCCAAGCACTTAAAGGAAAAATGGCCAGAACCAATCAGAAACCACCAGTCAGCAAAGAGACCAATAGCTGCACAGAACAGAGAAGGGGCGGGAAGGACTAGGGCGGAGGATGGGAAGAGAGCGTGGGTCAGGAGAACAAAAGCAAGGGAAAAGAAGAGAGAAAGTCAGGAAGGCTGTCACGGGCAGGAGAGAGAGCTGTCAAGGGCAAAGAAGGGACAGTCATAGCTACAAACAGAGCTCTGGGAAAGAGGAAAAGGAGGAAAGGAAGTAGGGGCAGGAAGTGCATTAATAAAACCAGCCAAACTGGAGTTCAGTAACTCTGAGTAAGATGTGCAAGGGGAAAAAAAATCACCATGACGTCAGTACTCAAACAGCTCAGACGGCTACAAAACAATATGTACATCCAGAGTCCAGGCGGCATTACTCAACAGCATTGAAAATAAAAGGGGGAAAGGAAAAGGAAGAGGAACAAGTCAAATCACATTTTGTAGTGTTAATGTGAGATGGCAGATGGACTTTTTCTTTCTTATTTGTTTGTAATTACATTTTTAAAAAGCTTCTTCTCTAGTGCTTTGGTTTCACTTACCGCCAACGGGCACCATCGCCAGCATTGTGTATAGTTACCATGGAAAGAGTGAGTCAAGTGAAGGGCCCTAAATGCTAAACCATTGGAAAAGGAGGGGGGGGGGAAAAAAAGCAAAATATGCAGACATCTTACTCAAAATGGTGGCTTTTATATTTCATACTTTTAAAAACTGGGAGAGGGGAAAGGAGCCAGTTAACCTTCACTGCATGATGGAAAGGGCCAGTGAGCACCAGGTGGCCAACTCAATCTTAGTTTTAGTATGTGCTACAGGTGGCCACCCAACCCTCTTGCTGGAGAATTTTATCCAGTAACTGCTGAAATTCTGGATATTAAATATATTTAAAAACCACATGAGTTTTGGACTCTTTCCTCCCCACCTCCCAACCTCTATGATCTTTTATTCCTTACTTATTACACGCAGGTGGAGGCAAACTGGACTCCCAAAAGAGAGAGGATACTGGCTGGCCCCTTGATTCATTATAGGACACATTTCTAAACTGGACAGTTTTTAGACGTTTTCAACGTTAGTTTTATTTTGGCCTGATTACAGGACTTCAGAGTCTCGCAAACTGAAGCAAAGGAAAAAAATCAAGAGAGTAGAAGGATGAACATTTCAGAGAAAAAAGGAAATGAAATCAAATACATATACATTCGCACACAGGTAAATTTAAAGGAAAACCCCCAAACAATCAAAAAATGGGGGGGGGGGGGAGGATACAAGTGTTACTTTTACAGCATTTTAGTGCAAGAAAGTGAAGGACACAGAGACACAAACACACACCACAAATAAGACAGGGTTCCAAATGTGAAATAAGTGAGGCAATACATAAAAAGAGAAATAAAAATATAAACCAGAAGTTGAATTATTGAAGACATGCACCTCGATTTTACGGCCCTCTACCACGGTGCCGTGTAATTTCTCCCTGGCCCTGTCTGCATCAGCACTATTCTCGAAAGTTACGAACCCGAATCCCTGCATGCAGCGGGAGAAGGGGGGAAAACATGCACATCGTTATATTGAAGTACTCATCTCTTGGTAAATAGAAAAAAAAATATCACAGTATGAAACTGACATCAGCAACAACTCAGCAATACTCTCCCAAAGTCACATTGTTGGTCCATGCATATTTTGTAAAGGGAAATGAAATCCAATAAAAGGATAAAGAACTATAGTAGTAGTGATAATAGTAATAATGTGATTAACAACAATAATAACAATAATGAAGTAAAACAAAAAGCATGTGAGGCCAGACCAAAACTGAGGTATAGAGTTACTCGGATCAAACTAGTCAACCGAGAATCTGAACATTTAAAAATAATCCTATCTTTCTCATTTCATGCTGTTAATATACATGTCCCTTTATCTAATACTAAAAAATAATCAAATCTATTATTCCTCAGCAACTTCTATATAAAGCTTGATATTTGGGTGCCAGCTTCATATAATGAATTTGTTAGGAAGTCTAACCATTTTAGCTCCACTTGGCCTATGGCTTACAGCACCATCAACTCCTCTGGGAACGGGATATTTTAAGACATAGTGAGGATGTTTGATTTGTGGGTACTGGGTGTGGGAGAGGAGAGCACTCATGTTCATCTAAGCAAATGAAAAGACCATTAGGCAGTGGTCAATTATAACTTTTCTTCAATGTGAATTTTAAACGAACAGATTGACACAAGAGTAGGAATATGTTCAGCTGGAGTTCAGAAACTGCTTATCCAGATCTGCCTAAATTATACATCTGTTGAAGTCTACTCAATGTGTTTGTTTTTTTCCGTATGTAGAGAGAAAAGGAACAGTCAAAAGACAGTGGGAGTGAGATCTAGTTAGTGACATGAACTGCATACTATTCAACAGGAAAGAATACCATAGAACAGCAATACAGTTGCTACTGAGTTAGGATTAATTTATTTGTCCACCATAAATGCTGGAAAACAAACAAACCATGAAGCTTAAATTTGTCAAGCAGAAAACGCAGGAAACCAGGGAGCTAACCCACTTTACTCCTTTGTGTGTATGTGTGTGTGCTGTCGCTTCAGTCGTGTCTGACTCTTTGCGATCCTATGGACTTCAGCCGCCAGGCTCCTAGGTCCACAGGATTCTCCAGGCAAGAATACTGGAGTGGGATGCCATTTCCTTCACTTCCTTTGTTCACACTTAATCTGAAAAACTAGTCTGGGTCATCATATCCTACTACCAATTTCAATACCAGCAGGATTTACTATATACTGCAGGACTATTTCAAAAAGTACTACTTCAGCTTCATTCTAGGTGCTTTGTCCTTGTCTCTCAACTCAGCAACTATAACAATTTCTCAAGCTATTTATGTCTGTAGAGTGGTAACTTTCTTAGAATTTTCGGAAACAGTCCTTATTTCTCAATAGCTTCACTGTCCCTCTAGTATTCTTTGAATATTCTATTGTAGGATAACCTGAACCCGTTATTTTTACTGAAGTTCTGCTTTGCTGCTTAATCCATGAGCACTCCTATATATATGATGCATATTCTTAACTGAGAAGGCCAACAATGTGCACTGTTCGATAAGATTTTATAAAGACAATTCCACCATTCCAAAGGATCTGATGACTCAGCATCTAAATGATTATATGATTGGGTAGCAATCCGTGGAGGATTCCAATGGATTACCCCCACCTTCAATCTGGATATCTAGAAAGTGAAATGCTAAGCTGAAAAGAATTTTTTTGTAAAAAATATGTAGCTTAGGATGTAATACTATGGGTAATTTTAATTAAAAATGTTCCTCTAAAATGTATATGTGTTGAAAATATCAATTGGAACTCATTTTCAGAAACAAATTTTGATATCAAGATGTTATGACCACTTTGACAACTCAATTTGCACAAGGGCAAGTTACTAATTAATTATTCCATCTGTCACACTAGCATCTGATAAAGGCAGGAAGCCAGTTCTTCAAACCTGGAGAGCTCTCCAATAGGAAAGTCAAACCTTTTAAAAAAGGTTGCAGATTGTGTTGAGGTTTTGTTTTGTATCACATTTTAAAAGTACTATAAGGTATTCCAACTGATTGTCACAGCCTCATACATTTGATACCTTCGGTTAAGTTAGTGAACTATAAATTAGCAGTTGGACAGCAGATTATATAAAAGCTAGCACCTAAGTTTTTAATTCTAGCATTGACTATTTGTATCTACATGCCCACATACATACAGACTTATCTTCTAAATACACCCACGGGTAGAAAGGATTAACCTGTTGGTCCCCTTCTGAAGTAAAGACATGGAGTCAACCTGAGGTTAAGGACTCAAGCATCAACAAGGCCCAGAGTAACAGCAAGGTCTTCTTCCTTCTGTGTAGCTTTTTTCTACAGCTAATGGTGAGAAAATTAGAAATTATGCTTTGAAAACTAAGTTCTGAATTCCACTGACTAAATTACATTAGTCCCACAGTTCTTCTAATTTCTGCTTTCAAATCTAATTGTTAAACGTGTTCTATGATCCTACTTTCTGTAATGTGTTGATGGGCCATCTGTGACACAGTGGCTGCATGGTATCATAAGCACTGGCAGCTCAAGGTCAGCAAATGACAAAGTTTAACATTGAAGCCTACATGTGTAAGATTTTTTTCAATATGACTTTAGTATTCTGGAACAAAATTTCACTTTTAAATGTTTTTAAAATGTTTTATTAAGGAGAGGTACTTATAAACTAAATGAAATTCTAATTAAGATACCAAAGACTTAAAAAATGAAGCCATCTTTACAGGCATATTTACTAGCATAAGAGGAGGAAGAAGGCCTTGTTGATAACTTTGGGGCTTCCTGATAAGAAACACAGATGTAAGAGGATTTCTTTCTTTCCTTCAAAGGTAAATAGACCTTGTGTCAGGCAGAGAAACAGCCCCCCAGCTGTCCGTGTCCTAATCCCCTGTGAATGTGTTCCTTTACAGGGCAGAAGGGGTTTTGCAGATGTGATTAAGTTAACGACCCTGAGATAGGGAGATGATCATGGATTATCCAGGTGAGCCCGATGTAATCGCAAGGGTGCTTACAAGTGAAAGAGGAAAAGAAAAGAGTCAGAATCGAAAGGCTGGTCTGGCCACTGCTGACTTTAAAGGTGCAAGGGGGCCTTACAGGCCAAGGAATGTGGGCTGCCTCCAGAAGCTGACCAAGGCAGGCAGTGGTGTATCCATTGCTTAGCGCCACCTGAAGGAGATCAGCCGCTGACACCTTGATTTTAGCCTAGTGAAACCCTCTTTGGACTTCTGATCTCTGGAACTGCAAGATAATAAATCTGTGTGGTATTAAGGCACCGTGTTTGTGATAATTTGTTCAGAAGCACTAGGAAATTAGGATACACCTCTCAGGATTAAGGTCTGTGATAAGGAAGGGGAGAAGCATCACCAGCATTTTTGGAGTATTGTTCTTAAGTACTTTTGTCTTGAGTGGAAATTTCAAACAGGTGATTTTCCATCAACTCAGTTTCCTGCCTGCTTATCTGTCACATCTACAATTTGGTTTTATGAATATTAACTCAAAATTTGAAAAAAATTTAAAGTACCGCTTCTTTAATAAAACTTACCCATTTTTGAGAACGTGCCAGGAATTGAGCTAAGGACAGTCACAGACTTATAATAAAGTTACTAACAGTAAAAGTCGCTTCTACGAAATTATGCTTAATGTCTCTTTATTCTTAGAAATCCAATTCATGTTAAGTCTGGTCATTTGGATCTCTTGCTTTGAAAAAAAAATTCATACAATCATGTGTAAACCCAATGGTTTCCTTAGAAGAACTTCAAAATGATCACACATTTATCAAATAGGAAAATGTAATAACTCTCCGAATAGTCACAGACTCTTAACAAGAATAACTATTTCAGGTATGTAAGAAGATAAAGAACAGATAAACAAAAAATAAAGTTTTATTTTTAATTAAAAAATTATGCTGACACATTTGCCTGTACCAGCACTATCTGATAGAAATGTAACATAAGCCACATACATAATTTCAAATTTTCTTCTAGCTACAGTAAAGTAAAAATATGTGAAATGAATTTCAATAATGTATTTTATTTAAGCCAGTATATATGACATGATTGTAACATGGCATCATTACAAAATCACTATTAGTGAGATGTTTAAGATTCTTTTTTTGATCTAAGTCTTTGAAATTGGCATCTATTTTATACTTAAAGAACATCCTCAATTTAGACTTGCCACATGTCAAATGGACAGTATGGCCACTGCACTGGACAATACTCTTACCTAAGGTTCTTGGCTCCCAAAGTTCTTCTATGTTAATAATTTAAACATATCAGTGTTACATTCATGATTTACCAGCTATCTTAGCTGTCTTTTGGAAATTAAGAGATGCTGTATTTATCAGGTGTATGGTTCTGGTTAAAACTTTAACAGAATGTGACAAGAACTTTATTATCTGCCTTGACATCCATTTGTCATCAAGGGCACACAGGAGCCGAATAACTGTCACCTTTTTAGTCTGGCCTCAGACTGCAATAAATAACAAGCAATAGGATGAGCATTGTAAAAATATCTTAAAATTTGTATAATCTTTGAATTTTTCCATCTCAGAAGAATGAGAAAGAAAATTTACCATGTAACTTTTAAGGGAGAAATCAAAAGCAGATGGTTCTCCTGGGTATGGCCAGAACACAGAAATTAAAAAATAAATAAAAGAAAAATAAAACTAAAACCCATAAAATGGTAACAAAAGAAAATAAACTAAGACTTTTGGAATTACATGCACTGTTAATTCAGTTTTAAATATAATGAAAACATTTCATTTCAGCATTACCCATCAAACTTTACCAAAAATCACAAAGGCCTACTTAGTGCAATTTCAAAGACAGTCTTTCGACCATATTTAGAAATAAACAATTTCCCTTTGCATAAAATCAAGAGCCAGGGAAATAGCCAGACACTTCTTGTGTCTGAGGAATGGGAATAGACATTTTATCTTCCCAAACTCCAGTCTAAACTATAGCTTAACCCAAACCCAGATTCTCATCATTCCAGAAAGCCACCAGAGAGAAGTAATGAGAACACATTAACTAAAAATCCACTAGAAATCTCAATAATTGTTGCTGTGCTCTATTCTGCAGTCCTTTAGTGGACTTAATAATTGACACTGTGAGGAAGTACAGAGCTTCTACACAGTATTTATAAGACATGTCCCTTCAAAAGTGACAACTGTACTTCAAAGTATGTTGACAAAACTCTATGGAAAATCTAAATGTTAGAATCTGTGTATTTCTTTTAAAATAAGCTTGATAATTATCACAAATGAATTGCTATAGGGTTGGGTGATGGTGAACAGGATTGTGGAAGGTCTGAATTTTAACAATGGAAGAAACTTTTGAAAAACTGCTCAGTCATTGAAAGTGTCTAGCAGACAGTACAAGGTCAAGAGCATTGGTTGCTGAACTAGGTGACCACTTTTTAAGAGTTCTGTTTAAGATTCTATGTGAGATTGCTGTATTTAAAATGGCTAACCACCAAGAACCTCCTGTATAGCACAGGAAACTCTGCTCAATGTTATGTGGCAGCCTGAATGGGAGGTGAGTTTGGGGGAGAATGGATACATGTGTGTGTAAGGCTGAGTCCCTTCACTGTTCACCTGAAACTATGACAACACTGTTAATCGGCTGCACTCCAATACAAAATAAAAAGAAGTTAAAAAAAAAGACTTTATGTTAAGAAAAACGACTGGAAGGAAATACATGAGAATATTGTGAATATTCTCTTTAATGAACTATGTATGCCCCCCTTCTCATTAAACATCATGTTTTTGTTTTATAATGATTTTTTAAAGGGTGCTTTTTAAAAATTGTTACTTAAAGGATCTATGAGGAGAGTGAAAATATAATTTACTGTTCAAACTAAGACACTTTGAGGGAGAAAGGAGACATTAACAATAATGCTAAAACAACAGGTATAAACTAGAACAACTAGGTATAAACTAGGATATATGGCTGCTCTTGTCATACATTATCTTCTTATTGTTTGTGTTAATACTTTGTCATGACTGGTGAAAGCTGGAGGATCAATAAAGCTATGCATATCTGTATAATCATTTTCTAGATTCTATTTGAGTACATTAGTTAATTTTTTTGGTAGGCGTACCATTTTTCATCATATATCTTAATTGAACATTTTCAAAAGGATAGTCTATCTTTAGTTCAGTTAATCATAGAAAATTAAATACAGGTGACTTTATGTCTGTACAAAGGAGTAGGGGGTAACTGCTGCTGCTGCTAAGTCACGTCAGTCGTGTCCAACTCTGTGTGACCCCATAGACGGCAGCCCACCAGGCTCCCGTCCCTGGGATTCTCCAGGCAAGAATACTGAAGTGGGCTGCCATTTCCTTCTCCAGTGCATGAAAGTGAAAAGTGAAAGTGAAGTCGCTCAGTTGTGGTAAAAGGAAGATTTTTAAAAAGCCACATGAAATAATTTAAATAAATATGTATGTATATGCATGTTAATGAAATAAATTAATTTCATAATAGCCAAATTCAGAATATGCAGGTCAAAGGAGAAAAAAGGAAAGTAGTCAACAATAAAGAAGCAACTACTTTCTGGAACACAGAAATACTACTGCCCAGGCAAGCCAAAAAGGTAGGCTACTGGTAGGCAGGGAAGAAATGGGGCATGGCAGCAAAAGTGTTCATTTTGTTTTTAAAGGGGTATATTCTCAAACCCAGGTCCAATATTGTCATAAAAAATAAGACATGGCAATAAAGAGATGATTTTTGTCTTGCAGCCATTTGGTTAAATACTGTTTTACATGTAAGTATTACTTATGTCTAAAAACGTATCAGTTTTTCCATTATTGCTTCAGAAAAAGTTCAATAAAGCTAATTTATGTATAGAAAAGCACTCTGTTAAAAGACTGAGCAATTCTTAGCTGAAAATATAAGTCTCCTTTTCTCTGGTTCCTTCCAAGACATGTTGTAATTTTATAGTTAAGTCCAGACACAAAAGAAATGAGAAACTAAACTTAATTTACAAAAATGAAAGTACTCATTACTTTATCTTAGGTGGATCCTGGAAGAGGCATCTAGGTTTTGACTCCAAAATAAATCTCTATTAATTAGCCTATTCCAGCAAAGAACTCTGGGTAATAGTTAAGAAGGGCAAAAGATGAAGACAGGTTTTGTATCAGTTCTGGAAGGCAGGTGCAAGGCAATTCTGAATTTTGTTCTTTAACACATTTTCCAATCAGTACGTAGTCTGTCTACCCTTCAGTAGCCCAAAGAAAAAGGGGGCAGTGAGGACACAGCATCAAGCTGAGAGAAGGAGCATATACTTTTAGATTCCCCAAAGAGAAAAGGAAGGCTTGTGTCATTTTAAATGAAAACTACAGGGAAGAAGCAATTGAATCAGATAAATTAAAAATTTTTTGGTAGTAGGCAAATCCTTGAAGTCAGTGAAAGAAGCCTTAGAAAGATCAATTTCCTTTGCTTCACAAGAATTCAAATTATTTTCTTGGTAAGGAGCAAGTCCTCAATGCCTGATAAAATTTTATTGGGCTTCTGGCTGTTAGAGTCTAGCAAAGAGTATTTTAAGTGCATACACTTAAAGCCAAAAACATTTAAACTACTGGTTTAGATAAACAGTGTGGTCAATAATCTTCACATATTTATTTCACATTCATGTGCTTCTTATCTCTAAGCCATTGTCATTTTTCCACCTTGTATCTAAAAAGTTCACAAAAAATAACAGCAATCTATACAACAAAAGCATAGAAATCCACTGTGAGGCAATTACAAGTATAAACAGTTTTACTGGTTATGGTTTGAACAGATTTCTCTTTAAAAATACTTACCAAGTTAAGTGCTGGAGAAAGTTCTGTATAGGCATATTAATCTTTAATCTTTTTTTGTTTTAACTGAAAACTAAAAGCTTAGAGTATAATTACCTCTTTAATAATTAAAAAATAAATTATTATAGTCAGAATTAAACACTTATAGTGTTGATGCATTCTCTACAGGAAGGAAATAATAATCAGGAGCATAAGCAAAGTACATACATTTGTATTAGCACAGATGGGGGCAGAAAGTATTAATACATACAACTTTGTAGGTAAGTTATCAGTTCCCAGACTATGGTGAATTTGGAGTAAGAAACTGAAGAGAGGTAAATATTAGCTCATTTACTTACTTGAGCTTTTCTCAAATTACATTCTTAGAGATTAAATCATAGCGAGGGGCTATGTTCAAAGTTTAGCAGAGATGACCAAAGGAAAATTAATTTAAAAAATTGGTCTAACCTTAAAGTGCAAGTAGAATGAAATGTAACAAGGTAAATATTTATAAGCCTGGCCCTCATCTGATTGTGTCTGTGGTGTATATTCCATTTGCTGAGGAGGAAGGAAACTCTCAAATAAAACTTTATGAAATTCAGCTCACCAAATATTTTTTCACAACATCATTTTACCATTCCCTCATTTCTAAAAGCACTGCTGCTTATTTTAGGGAATAAAATTCTAAATCATATAGATTGTGAATTTAAAATACTAAATTATCAGGTAATATTATGCCCATTCTCACATGAAAAACTCCCAACTCATTTGTAACTGAACTGACGTGACTCAGTCTCAAGTCTCAGTCTGGAAGCTTGCGTCTGGCTATAACTTAAAGGAGGAAATCCACAGTGAATACCGGAATCTCTTCTCCCTGTGTTTAAGCTTTGTCAAAATTTCCTAAACAGAGAGAGCAAGTCAACTGAATAACTGAAATATTACATTTCTTCTAAGTATGTAATTTTAAAGCTCTATTTTTCAAAGCTGAATTGTTCCGGTAGAATTCTGACTAGAATTCTCAGAGAATTTAACTTTTTTTCTGTCATCTCTCTCTCTCGTCCTTTATTAGTTTTATTTTTTTGGCTGTGTCCATGGCATGTGGGATCTTAGTTCTCTGACCAGGGATGGAACCTATGCACCCTGCAGTTTTAACCACTGGACCATCTGGGAAGTCCCTCTCTTGTCCTTTAAAATAAGAAGCTTAGGCCAAATTTAAATCTGAGAAAGAGCTGGTGTCTTTGGCAGATTTTCTTCCTTACAGCCACACTGTCCCCTCAAACTTCTCACTTTTATCCCATCACTCTCTAATTTAAGATTTAGGGAAAAGTATGGCCACTTGGTGGTTTCTGTTTAGAGGTAATCTAATCAAGCTAGATTTCGGGGATACTTTTTGCAGGCTTAAAACAACAACTTCAGTTTTCTGACTACTCACTATTTAAAATAAAACTAAAAGAAACCAAGCACACAACACTGAAATGGAGCTTACCTTAGAACCACGTTCATTAAAGATTATTTCTACATCTAGGATTTTGCCAAACTGCTGCAGAGACAAAAATAAAAGCATTTACTTATGGTCAGCTGTTTTCCCACATACTTTACTTTCTTCTGAAAAAAGAGGTGTTTTTTTCTTTTTTCCTTTACTTATTTAACTTCCATATTTTTATTTGTTCTAAAGTTCCAATACCAGTTGATTTTCCCTCACCACTGAGCTGATAGTTCCTTCTTTTGAAATTCACTCACACAGGCATCATCTACCTAAATACAGTGGAAGCTATTTTCAGAAGATATTCACAGTGTCACCCTATTACATGCTTCTTCACATGGACAAACTGGAGGTTTTCCTATCTGCAACTCTAACTTTTGAAATGCTTGTTTTAAGAAGTAAATCCTAAGTAGAAAGATAAACTATCAAAGGCTGTTTTTCTCCCCCCCTCTTTTTTTAAAATTAATAAAAGTGAACCATGTTCACTGAAAAACAAAAAAAACCCCCCAGAAAATATAGATAAACAAAAGGAAAAGAGGGCACAGAAAACTAAGATCATCTTTAATCCCATTATCTTAACATTTTTAAAAATGACGTTCTAAAATGTTTTTTACTTTTGGCTGTGCTGGTCTTCACTGCTGTGTGGGCTTTTCTTTAAGCTGCGGAGAGCGGGGGCTACTCTCCAGCTGCAGTGGGCGGGCTCAGCAGGTGCAGCTCCTGGGCTCTAAAGCAGAGGTTCAACAACCGTGGCACCTAGCTGTCCTGTGGCATGTGGGATCTTCTGGGGCCAGGGATCGAACCCGGGTCTCTTGCACTGGCAGGCGGACTCTATCACTGAGCTACCAGCGAAACCCCATCTTAACATTTTGATATCACCTTCCCAGCTTTTCCTTAGGCATGTGTGTGTGTGTATAAAACTACAGACATCTGACATATTATACATATTGTTTTTATTACTTTCCTTAAACTTAGTATACTTTATAATATATTTATGAATCTGAGTAACTTTCCAAATCAATAAATATATATTTGTATCATTTCTGTTTTCCAGCATACCAAACATTCATGGACATTATGAATGATTCTATTCATTTACCACTTTATGTGTGGCATGTGGGATATCAGTTCCCCAACAAGGGACTGAACCTGTGCCCTCTGCAGTGGAAGCACAAGTCTTAAACACTAGACTATCAGGGAAGTCTCTCATCAAGAACATCTGAAATAATAACTGTGTTTTGTAATTAGTTAAGTACTTCGACATTAGGAAAATCAAACAAAGCTAAAAGCACAAAACCTAAATAACTATTGCTAGATAGCCAAATAGCTGAGGAGGGGCATACACAAACACAGTAATTATTTTGAGGACAGGTTTATATATAAGGTGACAAAACTATCTGTTTTAATCAATACCTGAATAAACTGAATTGAGGGATGGGAAGGGAATTGTACATTTTAAGAAATCACTGACAACTGGTGTAGGCAGATCTTCAGTAGACACTATTTTTCCACCTCAAGAGAAACCACGCTTCGGACAGAAGAGGATATACCCATTTTCACAGACCTCCAGAGATTACGGTTCCATACTATCTCTGATAATGCAGTAGAGAACCTAGTAACTCATACTCCTGGGAAGTTTCTTCTTAAATGTAACCTAAATTCTTTATGTTGCCCCTTGTATTTTCTGTTGCTCTTCTTCCTGTAGAGCTGGAAAACAGCTAGCTATCATTTTCTGTCAAAAAGCTCTTTCAGTACTTCAAGAATATCATTAAATCTCAACCCTGGCCTTGTATGTGGTATAGAAAACACTTCCAGGAAGTCGTCTGTAAGTGATAGAACTCTGCTCCAGGGTCTTGTCACCTTGAGGTGGCCACAACCAAGACTTAGACAAGGGTATCTGCTTTTCTGACAAAGCACTCGACTGCCACACAAATATTCAGGGAAAAAAAACCCCCAATCATTTCTTATTCCTAGTTCAAGTTAAGAGTTTGATCAAATTAAAACAAGCAACAACACATTAGCCCAGAAAAAAATTAAGATTCTCAGCAGTCATTCACTTCTGAGTGATTTTGGGAGGAAGTAAAGAGCTGGAAGAACGTGTCAGGTAGCAAACTAACCCCGTATACATGATTTGAGATCACAGATATTATTTCATTTAATTCATTGCCCTGTGAAAGGCAGGAATTACTATCTGGTCCTGATTTCAGCACCTGAAGTCTCACATCCCAAGAAATCCCTCAGTCCCAGGCAAACCTGGTTCTGTGGTCACCTTACGTATGTGAGAACTTGCAAGGCTAATGTCCAGAACAGGCCGGGTGATGGGAATGTTTCTAAAGGCTGATGAAAACACTGATTTAGCTTATAATCCTCAGTGTATTTGTAGTTTTACCCTGAAGTATCAATACTAGTGATGAATTATACACCGGCAGATTATATTTTCATTGAAAAGCCAATAAAAGAACTTCAGAGACTTACCCCAAACATCTGCCGGAGGTCAGGGTCCCGGAAGCGGAAAGGAATATTAGAGACATGCAGTCGTTTAGGGGTAGATTTACTCTCTGAATTTTCACTACTTTGTGTCTGTGACTGCTGGCCGTCTGTCTGTGCGCCTCCTTCTGTCTGCTAAGCAAAGAAATAAACAAGATTAAGGAAAAAATAAATACAATTATTTCACAGGAATTACATAAAATAAGGTCCTTTCCCATCCCAATCATTTTCTGTGTGTCTTTAAGCAAAAATTACAACTGCCCCTTCAAAGAGGGGGGAAAAAAAACCCACAAAGATATTATCTATGTTTAAAATGCTATAACTTACCAAAAAATTTAGCTTCTTGCATATTTATAGTATGTTAGTAAAATGGGAGATAGAAGAAAAACTAAATGACTTGAAATATCACATGAAAATACATTAGGAAAACGAGATATAAGAAGAGTACATTATTCCTAGATTCTGCATCACTGACTCAATGGACATGAGTTTGAGCAAACTCTGGGAGATGGTGAAGAACAGGGAAGCCTGGCATGCTGCAATCCATGGGGTCGAAAAGAGTCAGACACGACTGAATGAACAACATTTTGAAAATAAAGAGTCTGTTATGAAGATTCTAGCATTTCTGGCTCATCATTTCAGGATATAAGGGAATATTTTTATATTTCATTCCCTCTAGTAGTTTCAGAGTTTATAGCTACTAGGTTACCAACATACTCTAATATTATTTATTAAGAAGAGATACCTAGTGAGCAAGGGCGTTCTGCTTGAAAACTGAAGAAGCTTCTTAATATGAAACCAGTCATCTGTACTCTCCTTCCCAATTTATGCACTTACTGCTATTTTAGTAGAGGGAACATTCCTTCTGTAGCTCAGAGTAAAGCTGCATTTATAAAGTCTGTCGGGAAAAGTTGATGGGACCCTGATGAAATCTACTACACACAAATATATGCTAGGTTTGTATGTTTCAGCAGTGAAAGAAGTGAAAGGGTGAGTGTGGGTATGCATTTTTGTTTAATTTTTTATGGGTTAATCAATGATTAACAATGTTGTTAGTTTCAGTTGTACAGCAAAGTGATCAGTTATACATATACATGTATCTATTCTCCAAATTCTTTTCCCATTTAGGTTGTTTCATAATATTGAGTTGAGTTCCCTGTGCTGTACAGTAGGTCCTTGCTGGTTATCCATTTTAAATACAACAGTGTGTACATGTCAATCCTAAACTCGTTATGGGTATGCATTTTTAATCTTGAATCTCTTTGTAATGTCCTAGGCATGAGTTAATTTAATTATTTTTCAATAAATCCTCAAAAAAATTGCTATGTTGAGAAATACTTTTGACAAATATCTAACCGGTGTGATATACTTCAGGCATTCAAATAACATTTACTCTGAAGTATTAATCTGACAATTCAAGAACCTTATGTTTTTACTATTCCCTATGAAGTGCATGCCAAACTGGATGGCTTGCTGAGATCATTTAATCAACATATTTTTTTAAACAGTAGAGGAACCTGCTGTTCTTACTATCTCAATTGAAAGAGCACTGAGAAACTCCAGCAGACTCTGGGTGACACAGAATGGATTCCCCTCCTCTACTTTAACCTAGTGTTCAGCTAAAAGAAACTAACCAGAGATACTGCTGGCTCAGAGATGTTTGCAACCATCTTGAAATGAGGTCTGAGACTTTATGAAGGATAATCAGGAACGTACGCCAAATGAACACCAGCTTATCAAGTGTCAGTCTAAGGGATAGCAGCGTTTATCTCCCCTTCAGGCCTTGCAGATGGCTTCACTGTGCAATGATTCACATGATACAAAAACAGCAGAAAAGGGAAGAGCTGTATACAGACCCATGTTCTGCCAAAGTGCAAGGTTTTTAGTCCTTAATCTGGGCACAGTGCAGACTAAGCAAAACACATTCCACTCAAAGGAACTCACTTAGTTACTAAAACAGCATCATGGATGCCAAAGCAACTAGCACAAACATCAATTACAACTGATGCTCATTTGAACATCTGCCAACTTGCCTCTCACATCTCACAGCTGGATCACATAAAACTCTTTCTTCAACTAGTCTGTAGGACCACCAGATCTGAACTGCAGGTGAATCACTCTGAGAAAAGTAAAAAAAAAAGGCTGATTCTAACTTTAAATCACAGTTCTATACATAATTTATATATGCAGTCTGTGTAGTCTGTAAAAAGAGTATGTAAGGTGGCGGGATAAATGAAAACTAATCATTACTTCCAAGTATGTTGCCTGAGGTACTTATTTGTTGTTCTTGAGAATTTTTTTTTTTAATAGTCCTGAAGATACAACTTAGGAAGAAGAAGCCAGATTGGTTAACTTTCCAGCCTTGTGGTAAGTACCTAACATTATTCAAAGGTATGAAATCTTTAATTCTCAGAAAACTTGTCAAGTAGAAAAAGCAAACCCATTAATTCAAAAATTCTTAAGCCTTCTGATTTTAAATACATTTACAAATGGAAGTTTAACATATCTAGCTACAAATACATAAACCATAAGCATACAGCTGCACGAGTTTTCACAAAGAAAATACACTCATGTAACAGCATCACTACAAACAAAGCTAGTGGAGGTGATGGAATTCCAGTTGAGCTATTTCAAATCCTAAAAGATGATGCTGTGAAAGTGCTGCACTCAATATGCCAGCAAATTTGGAAAACTCAGCAGTGGCCACAGGACTGGAAAAGGTCAGTTTTCATTCCAATGCCAAAGAAAGGCAATGCCAAAGAATGCTCAAACTACCGCACAATTGCACTCATCTCACACGCTAGTAAAGTAATGCTCAAAATTCTCCAAGCCAAGCTTCAGCAATACGTGAACTGTGAACTTCCAGATGTTCAAGCTGGTTTTAGAAAAGGCAGAGGAACCAGAGATCAAATTGCCAACATCCGCTGGATTATCGAAAAAGCAAGAGAGTCCCAGAAAAACATCTACTTTACTGACTATGCCAAAGCCTTTGACTATGTGGACCAAAACAAACTGTGGAGAATTCTGAAAGAGATGAGAATACCGGACCACCAGACCTGCCTCTTGAGAAACCTGTATGCAGGTCAGGAAGCAACAATTAGAACTAGACATGGAATAACAGACTGGTTCCAAATAGGAAAAGGAGTATGTCAAGGCTGTATATTGTCACCCTGCTTATTTAACTTATATGCAGAGTACAGCATGAGAAACACTGGGCTGGATGAAGCACAAGCTGGAATCAAGACTGCTGCGAGAAATATCAATAACCTCAGGTATGCAGATGATACCACCCTTATGGCAGAAAGCAAAGAGGAACCAAAGAACCTCTTGATGAAAGTGCAAAGAGGAGAGTGAAAAAGTTGGCTTAAAGCTCAACATTCAGAAAACTAAGATCATGGGATCCAGTCCCATCACTTCATGGCAAATAGACGGGGAAACAGTGGAGACAGTGACAGACTTTATTTTTTTTGGCCTCCAAAATCACTGCAGATGGTGAGTGCAGCCATGAAATTAAAAGATGCTTACTCCTTGGAAGCAAAGTTATGACCAACCTAGACAGCATATTAAAAAGCAGAGACATTACTTTGTCAACAAAGGTCCGTCTAGTCAAGCCTATGGTTTTTCCAGTAGTCATGTTTATTTATTTATTTTTATTAGTTGGAGGCTAATTACTTTACAATATTGTAGTGGTTTTTGCAATACACTGACATGAATCAGCCATGGATTTACATGTGTTCCCCATCCCGATCTCCCCTCCCGCCGCCCTCCCCATCCGATCCCTCTGGGTCTTCCCAGTGCACCAGCCCTGAGCACTTGTCTCATGCATCCAGCCTGGGCTGGTGATCTGTTTCACCCTTGATAGTATACTTGTTTCAATGCTATTCTCTCAGAACATCCCACCCTCACCTTCTCCCACAGATTCCTAAAGTCTGTTCTGATAAAACTGGAGCCCATTATACAGAGTGAAGTAAGCCAGAAAGTAGTCACGTTTAGATGTGAGAGTTGGACTGTAAAGAAAGCTGAGTGTCGAAGAAGAATTGATGCTTTTGAACTGTGGTGTTGGAGAAGACTCTTGAGAGTCCCCTGGACAGCAAGGAGATCCAACCAGTCCATCCTAAAGGAGATCAGTCCTGGGTGTTCATTGGAAGGATGGATGCTGAAGCTGAAACTCCAATACTTTGGCCACCTGATGCGAAGAGCTGATTAATTTGAGAAGATTCTGATGCTGGGAAAAATTGAGGGCAGGAGGAAAAGGGGATGACAGAGGATGAGACGGTTGGATGGTATCACTGAGTCAATGGACATGAGTTTGGGTGGACTCCGGGAGTTGGTGATGGACAGGGATGCCTGGTGTGCTGCAGTCCAAGGGGTCGCAAAGAGTTGGACATGACTGAACTGAACTGAACCATCAAATTAGGTCAAGCAACAGAACTCCAGAAGCACCCATGGGCCCCACTCCCCTGCCAAAGGATCACCACTATTCTGACTCCTATCTCCACAAATTAGCTGTTTTTGAACTTACCAAGAAAAAAAAAAAAAAAGGAATCACACTGTATGTATTTTTTGGTGTCTGGCTTCTTTTACACATTGTAACACACGCACTGTTGTACATTTTATAAACATACAGAATTTTTATCTGAGTGGCTTCCAGTTTTTAGCTATTATGGATGTTTCTATAAATATTCTTGGTACAAGTCTTCGCGTGCACAGGAGCAGGCATTTCTGTTGGATGAAGACATCTAATATTGGATTTGTTGTGTCAAGGATATATCTCAATTCAGCCTTCGAAGCTACTGTCAGTTTTGCAAAGTGGCTGCATTAACTTCCACTCCATCAATGGTATATGCAACTTCTAGCTGTTCTTAGTAACTTTGCCTCATTTTAACTATTTGGGTGGGAGGCAGTGGCATCCTACTGTGGCTTTCACCTCTTTCAGCTTCAGACCTTTTCTTCTCTCCAGTTGTATATTTTTGAATTTTGTTGAAAAATGAGAATTCCCTGTAAAACAATAGCTTTTTTTTTTTTTTTTAATTAACAGCAAAGAGATACTTTTTTGCTCAGATGTTAGCAACCACCTTGAGGAGTCTGAGGAATAGAAAGACAGCCTAAGTAATGGAGCAAGGACTTGAATGCAA